CCTGCTTTCCTGCAACGCTCATGTGTTGACCCCCTCAGCCTTTCCGAAAAGTTTGCTCCTTGATAGCCCGGCCGGTGGGATGGGAAGGATTCCTGTAACAGAAAAGGGTACATTTCAGATGATGTTTTTTCTCCATTTCAATTTAACTTCCCTAGTATTCATCTAGTACTCAAACCCAGTACAGCGCTCTGATACATTTGCAGGGCCCTATTTCTTGTCCCCTTTATATAATGGCAGGTGATGGGATTTTTTTTTTTTTCAAACACACTTGCTAGGCTCCTTCTGTCATTGAGGTTATTAGTGGAGAAAGCAATTGTTTAAAATAGCAATTGCTTTCCGAGTTCCCCCGGCCCTGACTACAGGCTACATCGGCCACTGCCCCACGGGACGGAGAGAGGTGTGATTTCCTACCGACAGCGGCTAATTTCTTCCGGCTGGGATGGGAAATCGGCAGGATGCCGCTCAGGGAAAGTTAGGTCCCTGCTTCAGGAAGCTGGTTTCCCGTTTCCTTTTGCCGGATTGACGCCGCCTGCAGCGGACACCCCTGCGAGGGAGACGCGAGAGAGTCACGCAGGCTGTGGATACGTCCTAGCATCACCCCCAGCGGGGCAGGGCCTGAGCACCTCGCTGCCCCGCTCTCCCCTCCCTCTGGGCAGCGAGACACGTCAGTGCCCCAGGGCGAAGAGGGAGGGAGCACACAAGTTATCAGAGTTTTTCCCATCTCTGTTGCTGATGATGGACCCAGGCAATGCATCTCGTGCACGGATGAGAGCGGCTTCATCTGCTGCGTAGGCCTGCGGGCGCTCGCCTGGCAGCCTTCGAGCAGCCTGGGGGGGAGCTGCCTGGCCAGGAGGAGGGTTGTCTCCTTGCAAAGAGCGCAGTGAGAAGGCAGCAACAGCGGGGAGGACACGTCCCCTCCGAGAAGGCTCCCACGCTTCACCCGGAGCCAGCGGGGAGCTGGCCGGGGCCGTGAAACCGGATCTAATCGGCACACGGCAGGCCTGGGGCAGAGGGATGTGGCTCTCGCTTCCTTTCCTTCCCTCGTCCCCTGTACTTTCCAGCGGCCACGTCCCTTAGTCGAACGCTCTGGGCCCAGATGCAATCACCTTCGCCCTAATCGAGTGATTTTTTTTCCCTTGCTACTTTGCCTGGTGCACCGTGGCCAAGCCTCCAGCGCGGTGCTCTCAGGGCTTTCCTCACGGGGCCGTCAGGGCATGGGATACCAGGCTGAGCCCCAGCCCTGCCGGGCACTGCCCCGCTCGACTTTCCCCCTGGGGACAGGTGCCAGAGCGAAGAGAGAGCACGAGGGAGAAAGCCCCCCAGAGGGAGAAGCTGAGAGCTCAGCCCATTTAGTTTGCCAACAAGGGTTTGGAAAGGAGACCACTCCATTATAGCATCTACCGACCACCTGCGCGGGAAGGAAATACCGGGAACCGATGGCTCTTGAATCCAGCAGAGAAAGGCAGAGCAGGAAGCGGTGGCTGGGAGCTGAAGCAGAGGCAAATCTCAACCAGGAATCCGGCACACCTCTTCACCAGGCGCAGACACACACGACCGTGAGAAACGGCAGATCCTCCGTCCCTGCTGCCTGCCTGGAAGAGACACTGCCACCAAACACAAGTGGCTGAGCTCCAGGCAGGAGCCTGTGCAAAACGTACAGGCCTGGGATATGCTGGCCCAGATAATCTATTGATCCCTCCGGCCTCTGGCTCCAGCGAGGAAGAGGAAGGTGCAGGAAGCCCCGATCTACTCCACACTCAACTGGATCCTCCCATATTAGTGCTGGGAGGCTGCGGTGAAGGGCACCTTAGGGAAGTGAGCACACCCTGATTTTATTCTTATAGGGCCTAAGCTTGGCCTCTGACCTTGCAGGTACTTTGTGCTTTGGCTGGAATAGTTCAACTCAGGGACAATCCTGTCTGCAGCAAGGGGCTGCACTAGATGATCTTGTGAGGTCCCTTCCACTCCAACTTCCCTACGATCCTATGACTTGCTCCACCGCTCTTAGCGGTCTCCTGACCCACCTGCACCCTGAGCCGTGACAGCTAAGGCACCTACAGTTAAGTCTGTGCATAATCATTTGCAAGAGGGGGAGTCTCTGCTCAGAGTTAAAGGCCTGGGCTGTACCCGCCGCAAGCCCTCGGGGGGTACCAGCCCCCCCCCCCCGGAGGGTCCCAGCCTTGATTCTGGAAGCAGGGCCACGGGAGGTCCTCACGAATCGACGGCCTCCAAGTGCTTTGTCAAGACAGAAGTATGGCTAAGTAGCAGCCTGGCCGTGAGCTCTGTTGCAGGGAGCGGCCACATCACCTTCCCTCCGAACAAACAGCCTCGCGCACCCGGGGAAAGCGAGCGGCATATGGGAAGACGTCTTGGCAAGGCTGGTGCTCAGCTCCCTGAAACTGCCGTGCCACTGGCCTGAAAGAACAACTCCATCAGCTCCAGTGAGCAGACCGTCTGCTTCCCAGGATCTAGGATCCGTCGCAGGCTTCTTCTGCTTTAATTATTTAAAAATCCTAACCCCAGCTGTTTATTTTCAGGGACTATTATCTGCCTCCGACTATTTTAAGACTCAAAAACATGAAGCCTCTCCTTCACTCTGCTGGTAAAGTTTAATTCACTCTAATTATTTCATATTACATAGACTATAATAGTTTCATAATTTCTAGTATATTAAGCACTTAATATGTTGTGTCATTTGAAGTCGCATATTAAATTCAGCAAAGTACATTTTAATGAGAGTTAAGTGGTGTGAAAATATTAATACCACGTAATAGTTCATTTTGGCACTCGTCTTTTTTGAAGCCTCGAAAACAGACAGGTGCTGGCGCTTCTCACCTTCATTCTCAGAGTGAACCGTCCGAGATGAAACCCGCCCCCCCCATGTCGGTGACTACGAGCCACAGTAGCACGGGAATCCTTTGCGGGGGGTTCGTCGCCGACAACTGAACCACAAAGCCATCACCGCTTATTACCCCTCTATGTCTTTCAGTCACAGCTTAGCTGGACCAGATGTTTCAGGCCACACCACGCCAATAAGATTGGTACTGGGGCCGGCTCTTCCACCGAGTCTTGCAACGTGCGTCGCACCGGCAGGTAGGGAGCAGCGTCCGCATGTTAGGGCGCAAGCGGTAGTTAGGTGGAAGCTATCGCATTTCCCAGTGGGCCAGTAAAGCACAGTATTATTAACCTCTGCATTCAGCCGGGGCTCACAGAGGTCATCCGATTTGCCCATTCCTCCCAGCGCCATGCCCAAAGCAATTAGAGCCCCGGTGACAGCTGCTGTCACGCACAGGCTCGCTGCATCTTGCCTGTCCCCAGCATCGGGGCTGGGGAGGGTTAGCATCCCTCCGGGACGCCCTGGGCTGGCGGCGCAGTGCAAAGCGGTGCAAAGCCAGCGCCCAGCAGTGTTGTGCGGCCAGCCCCCAGCGTCCCGCAGCCGGGCTCACCCGGACACGCGGGGGCTGGCCCGAGGGTCTGGGCCAAGTTCCAATTACATTAATTGCTCTGTGCCTCACCACGGGCGCAGTCCAGGGGAAAGCAGCCAAGGCCCCCCAGGCAAAGCAAGCCCCAGACACAAGCTGCCCAGGAAGGTTAGCTCTCCAGGGGCCAGGCCGGGTGAGCATGGGGAGGGGCGCACGAGACACCCCAGCTGCTCCTCCGGTGCACTCAGGGGCTGCAGGGCAGCTTCGCTAGATGAGCGCTTCACCCGCTGCCCTGCCATCCCCAGACGCTGCGTCAGCGCCCGCGGCCTGCTCTCTGCCGCAGCCTCGACACGTCTGTACGGCTCCTCCAGCCGGCCCGGGGCCGCTCTCCCCAGCAGATGGCAGCAAGACATCACCAGCACGCAGACGCTTCCCGAAACCGGCGAGGGAGGGAGGGAGGGAGGGCGCCCAAGGCCAACCCGCCCTAGACCGCAACCACAGCGAGCGGGCCCCTTCCCAAGCTGCCCCGATTGCGAGGAGCTGCCCCCTGCACGAGCCGCGTAGAAATGCCCCGATTCCTCCGTGGGCGCTCGCAGGGATTTCTCTGGTCTCGGGCAATGCCAAACACCGGGTGCCAGTGTCTGCTGCCCCCCTCGCAGCGCATCCTCTGCTGCCAGTCTCCCCTCCCGATGGGAGCGAGGGACGGCTGGGCTCGCCCCCAGCTCTGAACACAGGCCCTGGCCTTTTCTGAGCCCCGAGTGACGTGCCAGGCCGCAAGCCAGCAGGGCCAGGTTGGGAAAGAAACCGGAGGAGGGGCAGGAGTGACTCGTGGAGAGCAAGGGGGCAGTTGTGGCCCTTGCTGGTGGGTCTGTAATGCAGAGGGAGCAGCCTCCCACCTTTAAAAACCTGCTCGCCGAGGGGCTGCCTGCCAGCTCAAGCCGTGGCCGAGTCGGGCACCCTGGGTTATTTTCATTTCAACTCGTTCCTGAGCTTTCCACCTGCACGTAGATCCTTGCTTGTTGGCAAGCTCCCCTCCCCAGCCACAGCGGCCACCGGCACAGCGTTTCCAGCCCGAAAACCTAAACGTTTATGCAATCGCTTGCCTACAGGGGCCGGAGCTTGAAATACAACGCCGGCTCTTGCGGAGACCCAGGCTAAAATTGCAAGAGTGGACAACGCTGCTCGGGGCCGACAGCTGAAGGAGAAGAGCTGGAAATGTCGGGGGTACAGAGGGAATCATTTAAAATAAGTCAGTCGGGCCAGAAAGCATCGCATCTTATCTCTGCAAACCCACCCTGAGGGATTCCTAAGCGCGCTGCAGTTCATCGCAGCTGGAAGGCTGCCGCTGCCACCTCTCCGGCAGGCCCGCTGGCTTGTTTTAACACCCCCCCAGCAATGCCCAGGAGACGCAGGCTCTCACCTAAGGGGAAATATCTGGGGTCTTGTGCTGGGAGAGGAGATGCGCTGATCCGATTCCCCGGGTAAGCGTGGGCTGCCCATGGAGACGGCCCGCAGTTCCCCGGGGAATTGGATGAGCGCAGCGGTGCCGGCATCGCCTCTGCCAGCACAAGAGCCCGGCTAATCACCGGGGGGGCAGGATCCGCGTGGCACATCACGCGGGAAGGACGGCTCCCCTGCACCCTGACGAGCCGGTGGGCCGCCCTTTGGCAGCGCGGCCACGCTCCGGGCAGGGCCTTGCCCTCTGCCTCTGCAGAAGGAGGGCGAAGCAGGCGTCAAACACTGCAAGGTCGTCATGTCGAGCTGCTCAGGGCCCAGTGGCTCCAGTTCCCAGCACCGGGGGCCCGGGACAAGCCCTTTCCGCAGGGCGGGGGGTTCCTGCACACCCGCGGGGCCTGATTCCCGCAGCCCGTCCTCCGAGGGGGTCATTTATCCCGGGGCAAAGCATGCAAGGGCAAGGGGGCGAAAGGTGGCAGCATCTCCTGTGGTTCCAGATGCGGGCGTTCAGGGCGTGAGGAAAGACGGCCACATCCCCCACACTAGCCCGTGCTTGTGTCCAGGCAGGGAGACCGTGCCAGCCCCTCGGATAAGAAAAGAGGATTCACGGGCGCTTTGCAGAGGGCGGAAGCAGGCTCTCCCCCTCCTACCGCTGCCCCTTCCTTCCCCGATGCAAAAATCCTGCAGCCTAAATCAAGGGCAGGAGGGTTTTCACCCTGTTCTTCGCCTGCCCAGTCCCCGAGAGCCCTGGGGGGGCTCCTGCGTGTCCTCAGTGCGGCGCAGGCCGGCAGGCTGGATCCCTGCACCGGGAGGCAAAGGGAAATCCTCTTTAAGTAGCCCAGTCCGCCACCTGCTCTGGGAATTAATTCAGTGGCACCTCCAGAGCCGCGCCGCGACATCTGCCGAGGATCGAGATGCCCTCCCGGTGACCGTGGCGGGAGGGGGGGGATTATGGGTGCCAGTGAGAGGGCCTGGTCCGAGGAGGTGGCGGCCAGCTAGGAGCCTCGGAAGAGCGTTGCAGCCTCCTCCAAACGGGTTTGAAAAGCCAGCGTCCTAGAGGGACGCGCGCCGCTGGCAAAAAGCCACGGGCTGGCCACCTTCGCGGGGGGCCAGGAGTCCCCCGGGCAGCCCTCGGCCCCACGGACCGCGCCAAGGGGCACCGTCCCCCTGCCAGGGAGGGCTGCCTCGGTGCGGGCTGCTGGAGAAACCAGCCCCTTCCCCATGCCGGAGGAAGGATCCGGCCGCTCCGATGCCGGAGGGAAGCCGCGTTGGCGCCGGGTTTCCCTCCGCACCTTGCACCGGAGCGTGAGCCCCGTCCCGCCGCCCTGCCCCGCACGCGGCCCGGGCCCTTGGCGTGGAAGTGAGCCGGCGGAGGCGGAGGCGGAGGCGGAGGCGGCTCCTCCAGGCGGGTTTTTATTAAAGAACGAAACCGAAGCGGAGCAGAGGAGCTCGGTCCCGCGGCGGGGCGGCCCGGGCCGGGGTCCCCGCCGCCCCCGGGGGCCGCCCTCTAAAGTGCTGTCGCAGCCAGAGCGGGGCCGGGGGGACACGACGAACACGGCACCACGAGCAACACAGCACACGGACACGCGCGCCGGCCCCGCATGCTCGGCCCGCGTGTCCCGGGCCGGCGTGTGCGTGGGCCCGGCCTCACTGGGGCAG